ATACGATTTCAAGTATCATTCTCTGCAACTCCATTTTATCCTCTTTCTTTGTGTAGGTAACGGTGCGACTTTCTTACATGGACCAATTCCTGCTCCTTTACCACTAGCTGGATCACCACTTAATCCAGACTTAATTTAATACCTCAAAGCCTTTTGTCGTATCGTCCTAAAGATGTTTACTCTTTCGAGTCGCCAACTGCATGAGATCCGGTTAGGCGTACGGGTCCATTCAGTCAAAGCCAACTATTTGACAATGCTCTACTGATAGTCGAAAACATTTCTATTATCATGAAACAGTATTTCGATAGAGAAGGCTTTATATGTTACGATTACAAAATTGGATACGCTGTCCATCGTCGTCTATATCTGGTCCATTACAGTTTTGTAAAACTCACCCTTGTCGCTCAACAGCAAAACTTTTTTGTACATACGACAACTCGGTCGCCTTTCTTATCATCAACCACATCGACGATATTTTTCACAGACGAATACCACCCAAGGCCTGGAGTACCGTTATCAAGCCCTATTATGCTTACCACCCTAGTACTACTGCTTCTGTCTTATCTCACAATCATTACAATTCTTCTGCCTTCTTTCTCAGTAACCAACCATCCAACTTGCGATTCCTATGCATCAAGGGAAGATTGTCGATTGATACCACTACAGAAATGGAAATTCCGCAAATCTGCATTTCTGCCTATTGTGTGTTTCTAAAAACGTCTCCAAGGAAACAGTATTCTTTCCTGATTCTCTCATCATGTACCACTATGTGATCTCCATTGAAGCATGGATTTCGGATTCTCTTTTCTACTATGCTCAGCTGCAGTGCGACGATCACCCGATATGCAAAACCTTACAATGTGTCCTCCGTTGGTAGTATGTCTACAATAAGCAGCGTTGCATTTTCGCACAATGTAGCTTTGCTGCCCTGCTCTTCATTCTCCTTCTTTTCTTATTTTCAGCTGCATGCTTACTGATCCTTATTTTCTATCGTCAGGATAGTCCTCCATGGTATTGTAATATTACTTTGAAGAGTTTGTCGGCATATTCCTCTCATATTCTTTCCGAAGAAGTTGACCAAACGTTGACAAACACTTCGGCCATATATCAGCCAAAGATCAGGAAAGACACGCACCTACAAATTCGTGCTCAATGTTCCTTCACTTGCACTTTCTCTTACACGGAACTGTTCTGAATTCATACTCGTAATCGCATTTGAAGAGAATATCTCACTACCTAGAGTACCGGTATCTACACCTTCAACGACGCTACAATGCTCACCTTACAGCTTCTTCAATAGGAGAGCTGCATAATTCTCAATAGTTCTAACAACACCATCATCGCTTCGTTATCAATCAAAATTATGAGCATCCTCTTTCAATGTCAGCCGAAAATGGAATTCTTCACTCGCGATCATTTGCTAACATCAGAATCAATCCATCGATGTTGGTTAGCTGGTAGCTGCACATATAACAAATGTCATAATATATCTCTTGAGGTTTAAATCGAAGAGTTCTCTCACTCTGCCAATCATGATTATGGTTATACCTTCTGCTCCTTGAGGCGGTTTGCTTTGTGACAGTTGCCTCCTTAGTCAGCCTGGCTGTCTCTTTCATCGTCTTTATGCGATTCCCACAAGTGACAGCATCTATACGGTTTTACATACCCCGTTTGAGACCTTGCCGTCGATGCCATTCGTCATCCACGTCCACCACTTTGCATCTTTGTCCGGAACTCACTGCATCCTGGAACCACTATCGCTTCATTCTCACTGACACCACCACTCCGCATCTGCCTACCTTGTCTTCCACTCTATCCATGACAACGTTTCGATCCCTCTTATCGAACCAGCTGTTAACGGAAAATTTTCACCTAGTGGAGTTGGACAATTACAGTGTGCCACCCTACAGCACATTACAGTGCCACCCTACAGCACGCTCGGAACTTTCAATTCCAGTTTGCACCTAGAGCTTGCACATGCAACACAGGATCTCATGAAGTCTCTTGTCAATATAGTTCAGGAAACATACAAGATAAAATGTCAATATCCCCAATGCCTATTGCATCACAACATTCGCTATTCGATCGGACGACCCTAAGATCCGCCCTCCAGCTACATCTCGTCGTGAATGATATGACGGTAGGTTTTCGATTTTACAACACCTCTTGTACCGTCGAGACTACTGATATTGTGGGCTGCTACAACTGTTTGGCTGGAGCTAAATTAGGTTTGCTCTGCACCAAAACCTATGGCGAAACAACGGCCAATATTTTCTGCCCGTCAAATCATTTCACAACTAAAGGTACTCCGACAGGTCACCTCAATAACCTTATTTTTCATTTTGACTACTTTTTTGTTTCAGTTTTTTGCAATGGTTCATGTCTAGGAGGAGTAATAAGTTTTTCAGCCAAAGGTTCTCTCACCTTCGTTGACGACGAACTCATCCAGCACTAAATCGCCGCCGTGAACTATAAAACAGCATCTATGGACCTCCCCTCCCTACCTGATCTTTTAGGTGCTCTTAACCCTCTTTACTTCTTTCAAAACGGTCTAACCTTTTCAAAGGTTTTCACATTTGCTTCATTTACTTTGTAGTTCCTTGTCTCTGTCCCCTTATCTTCAGCTCCTATATATATCAATATTTTAAGCCAAAATTGTATTAAGCATCTTTCCTTTTTTGCTGCGAAAGTTTCTGTAATTGTATAGTTTCTATCACAATACAAAATGGGCATGCTGTAGCCCATCAGCCAAAACACACTGCTGACTAATATTCCTAGCATTTATATGTTGAAGGTGCCTCCACATTTGGTGTGATACTAAACGTCAAACTGCTCATGACTCAAATGACTGTGGCGAAATAGCATTGTATCAAACAAAATCCTTTGTCCTGTTTTCGTACATAAGCTCGTCCAAAATCATTACAAGATATAGCTACAAACTCTTCTACGTGAACTCAAAGCCACTCTCCCTTCGCTCATCCACATCCCACAGGCTGCTTGCTTCCCTCTACCTTTTACCCTATGTTCTTCTTGTAATAAATATACCATAAACAGTCAAGGCACAGTCACTGCAGCCAACAAGTAAACTCCTAACGTTTGGCAAATCCTAAACAGAAGTTTCGCTCCAATCCTACAGCAGCGCAAAAATGTGGCATGAGAGAGGTTCAAAAGCTGATAAAGTTAATAAACATACAATTGTTAGATGTTGAAAGAACGAGAAAGCATCTTGAAGGTTCTTCCCTTTATTGCCCATCACTTGAAAAGGAATTCAAAAGTTAATACCGAAAAATGAATTATGAATGTGCCAAAGTGACAAAAGTGGCTAGTTTAAATCCACCAATTATCTCTCAACTCAAAGTTGAATTACCAACATGTCCTGTCTTATACTTATGAAAACTCGTAAGTTAGTATCCACTGATGATCTCGCGTCTACCGACCGCTCACTTTCAGTGTTTCACTCATCACCAGTGAAATAAATGGGACCGCGAACAAACTAGCTTGGTTTGTAAATCTAACACTCATCCAGAAATGCTGAAAAATATCCTAGTCCACCTCATGAATACCCAGATGTTTCTGGATCGGTCGCACAACGCGTACACTTCCAACGAAATAAGCGCAGCTATAAAGCGTTCTTTAAAAAAGGCCGACCTGGAGAATTGGGTAGCAATGACTGAAATACCAGCAAACCCTCTAAGAGACCAGGTAGTTCGTAACCATTTGGATAGTCTAAGCGAAATGCAAAGTTGTACAATTTGCCTTCACAGCAGATACGGTGATTGCAGGAATTCGGGTATGGACTACCTTATCTCTTGTAAAGTGTACAGGGACGAACACATTAGCGAAACGGTAGACCACTCTGCGTCTGTGTAAAAGAACACCTACTCGGTAGACTTGAGGCTAAACCAAGTACTCTATTAGGAGAGCGGAAGACACAGAAGCATAAGGAGGAAGATTTTAAAGTAGAAATTACCAACCTCACATGGGAATAGAAAACTTCAGCGCGCAAAACTCTCGAAGCACTCTGGATATACTCCAGGAATCCAAAATGAACCACAGTGATGAGCTGCACGTTATCACGCGTGATCTAACGCAGCATTCAAGACATATTTTAACATAAGAGAGACACATTACGAAACATATAAACTCTGATCGGTTGGTCTCCACGTGAAATACCCAGTGGAAGACTCATAGTAAGTGGTGAATGTGAGAAGAAACTACTTTATTTCTGATGCAGTTGGAATCTTGGTTTCGTGTTTTTTTTCTGTTGTGGTTGTGGTGTTTAGTTCGCTAGATAGCAATCAGGATGACCTTTTCAAGCTCTGACGAGGACGAAAAACGTCAAAAAGTCAACTGTTGTAAATGAACCACATATAACAACCTCGTGGTGTTAAAGAAGAAAATGGTGAGTTATTCATTAGTGCCGAGTTTAATAGAGAATTGGTTTTAGGAAATACCAGCATGTAGATTCCTTTCACTCATTTGTTTTAAGGCTCATATTCCAAACACGAAAGCAAATGAACAGGCTGGATTTCGCTTAACAAGACACGATGGTGTTCGCCAATATATTGCATACATTTGCAGCTATCACTCTTCCGTTGAAAACTTTAAAGACTAGTTATGTTGACAATTTTTTGGAAGTTACAATTCTGAACATCCGAAATTGAAAGGACATTGATCGAAAATACATATTTTATTAATGAGATACAGCAAAATCCTGGCGATAAACTTGTCAAGTACTGGACTGTCGACACACTCTTGTGATCCAGAAATTATCGCCACTTGTTACAAACTCAGTTTCGGAACAAAAGATTTAAGTGCAGAGAGTGGCTTTCCTGTTCCCACCCCATTCACATTGTTCAGCTTTCAATAAGCTGTCGATTTCTATTGAAATTGGTGGGAAAACGTCCTGTGCGGCAAAAAAACCGATGCAAAGGAAGTGCATTGCATACAATCATCTTGGGACGCGACGTACGATTGTATAGAATACTCATCGTCCGTTGTCAAGCATCGAACCAAAATGAAATGGATATTGAATTGCTGAGTGAAGAGACAAAATGCCACCAGCCCTTCGGTATGAAGAGTACATCCCCACCTTCTACCACTCCATCCCAACATTGTGCTCTAGCAAAATCTGGATATTCGTCCAAGTTAGGATTCAGCGCATCTACCTAGAATTGTAATCAACAGCAAATGCTCTAAAAAAGCGTACACTACACACTACATGATTCCTACCTGACTAGTGTTTGTAGTGATTCCATCCTTAAAAGCGTATACGTTTTCAGTATCAACAGAAGGCACCAAGCGGAAAAATTTGCGACCCGAAATCTTAAAATAGAAGCGTAAGATTAACGCATGTAATCGAGTGATTAAAGTTTCCTTGCGATGAACACGGTCGACTCGATACCGCATTTAAGACTAAGTAGGTTTTTCCAGCCCAGCGGAATGGCCAGAAATTAGGACCAGATCTATCCATGAAGACAAAATACAGTAACTTGATAGATAAGTAGGCCACCACAAATCACTGCCAAATGAAATGTGAACTCAGTCATATCTATGAACACCAAACGTTGTACCTTCTATTCTTTAATCGTAAAGTCGGAATTGAACGCTGCACTTCAAAAAATACAGTAGACGACACGCGTTATTTTTTATGCGACATTAGATGTATTAAGTTGCGCGAATCCCAATAGTTCCTGCATTCGATTCGTCTCCTCGTACCTACCATCCACGAAGGTCTTCGAAGTTTTCGCGTGTTGAATCGGCTGATGCTTGAGGACTTTTCGTCTTCGTCACGAATACCCTTGAATGGTAGTCGTATCGATTCTCCCAGAAGTCCTAGGATAGCCGTGCTAGAGCGTTCCCACGTGGATTAATGGGAGTCAGTCCAAAACAAATTTGATACTAACTTCACCACCCCCGCAAGATGACGGGTTTTCTGTGCCTGCTGCGAAATTGAGCTTGCGCCTGGGTAGGTTGGACCATCCGCGTAATGAACTGGATCATTATCACGGAGCTACCCGCACCCTAAGTCAACAGATATAATCACAAAAAAAACACCTGACAAAAAAGATTCTCCCTTGGGTCAGTATGAAGCGGCGATATGGTCCCTCCAGGCCCAATCCAACAATTCCTATCGACTTCCTATTGAAAATACAATTAGTTGTCCGTGATATTATCAAATTATTCCACGACTTAAAAATCTGCTTACGCACATCGCAGTGATCGCAGTATAAAGGCAGACAGAAGTCATCACATAACTGAGGTATTTGATCAAAAAGACGATGTTGAGCAAGATACAAAGGCTCCTTCTGAAAAACATGCTTGAGGTAGTAAAGATGGCAGAGCACAAAGCAGATTATACGGCCATTTTTCAAAATTCTTTCGATTAAAAAGCAGTATAGGATTTCGATCGGAAGGATTGTAAAGCATGTCGATGCAAACTTTTAACGAATTATTTTCATTTAGTTCAATAAAAAGCATTTTTGAAAGTAACGCTAATGGTTTTCCAAAATTTTAGCCCGAGTGAACGGCATGAAAGAATACAAAAAAGCGAGAAACCTAACCCCCCTCTCCAGAAGTGTGCATTTCCTGAAGAACTCCGAACCTGTCATAAGTGTTTGACTCCAGCTACTATCAGTGTACTTGGAACCTTGCTCGACGGGAACCACACGACGAGCAAGTATACGGTGGAGATAACCGAAACTAAAACACTGGATTATTGATGGCAAAACTTTGAAAGTAGGTATTAAATTTTCAATGGGGACCTACCTCCACTTTTCAATAGCAGGCCAGTGACTGATAAGTCCTTTTATAATTGCCGGTTTTGACCGAGTGAGGAACTGATCTACGAAATCCCACTTGCTAAGTTCATTAAACACCGGTATGGAGGTTGAATTTTGCAATGGCTTCGGTACCGCCAGAAAAATCTAGAAATGCAAGGAGTTAAAAAGTGAATCAATCAACTATAGTAAAGATTCAACAGTTATTTCATCTATACCCCGCACGTTTCAGGCATCGGGATGGGAGGTGGGAGACAACGATCGCAGAAATGAGCATATCTTTGAAGAAGCTGGTCGGGAACGCAATCTCCCATAAGTAGACCGAGATCGGCGGCAGCAATGGCTTGCTGAGAAACACAGGAATTTAGGATATTCAAAAAGGATACACATTTAAAAGGTTTAGAAAGTATATACAAAGCAAAAGACGGTTCTCCATAGCATAGAAAACTAACCAAATGTTGACTCGCAACAGATAATCGGACCGATTTCACAAGTGAAACGGCAGCGAACAACAACCTCCAACAGTCATCTACCTCAGAAAAATGCCCTAAACACACTATCAGATGAAATAAAACAACATTTTCAACATAAATGACAACTAGACCGAAATTTATGCACAGCGCTACATCTGATCTCCAGAACCAGCCAATTCGTTCATAACCAAACAACTTGAATAAAAATTAAAGAAGGAAACATATTCCTTATATGTACACTGAACAATACACTTCCATAAAAATGTTGACTAAGTTGCACTTAATGCTTACAGACTAAGAGAAATTTGCAAAACCTCGACCCGTAGATGTATGCGATGGGGATCGAACACGCTATTACCCTTTCCGGTGGTTAACGCGTTCACCACCATACCATGCGGGTCCTTTGTTTCACCTATCTCTCAGCTAATTCCCTACCTACCAGTGCCATCAGCAATCATTATTCAACTGGATTAAGTTGCCGTCAATTGGGTTCAATGCCGATTTGTGCTATCCAGATTGATCCCACTCACGGATGACCGTTCACGGCACTAGTAGATAGAAAACTAGCTGAGCGACATGCGAAACAAAGGTCCCTAATGGTGAATGGTGAGGTGGTGAACGCGTTAACCACCGGGAAGTGTAATAACGCGCTAGTTCCCCACCGTAGGCACCTATGGTTCGGAGTTTTGCAAATGTTGACTAACTGCATTTAATGTTTGCAGACTAAGAGAAATTTACTGCCAGAGATAATGTAATATTATAAAGAAACCGCACTCACCAGTGTTCAATTTCTCCCATGCAAAGGCAAGAAGCAGTGTTTCATCTTCGATAATTGTCGACATTTTGGACAATAAGCTCGTATTTGCTTGCCGAGTACTTGGTTGTTCTCTCTGGATTTCCTGTACACCCATCGCGAGACGCACGAATGCACGAACAATGGAAAGACCGACCTTCCGTCCATCCATAGCGCGATGTAGAACAACGAGTGGCACATACTTTAAAGACTGGAATTGACAATTCTTAAACACTAGTGGGCCACTCCAGTGTTAATTTACGGCAGTTCATTAGGTATCTGTAAGAAACTACCTCTATCTCGTGCAGTAATTCACAAATGTCACATATGCTGTCCGAGTGGGAGCAACTGTTGTCAACGACTATCCTAAATAGGAAAACACTAAGAGCATCACAGATGGTGCTCAAAACACTGTAAAGAATCCGGTGACTACCGCACGTTTTCAATTGACGGTGTGACGGTGGAAACAGAAGACGTCTAGGAGATTCGCTGGACTTTGGTACTGATATAAAACTGAAACCTGGTAAATACAGACTTACATCACTGAGGGGAAGATGGAATAAACCGTTTTCTTACCCAAGTTTTTCGCATTCTTGTGTGTTGTGCTCATTGGTATTGATTACCAAAATGGAATCTGGAAAACGATCCTGGGCAATCTTGATGGCTTCAGTAGTTAACAGGTCCAGTATAGCAGCGCGATGAGATTTCTGATACGTTCTTGAGATATTACAAGATAAGGGAAAAGAGAAAACTCTCACTCCTGGGCCTCTTTTATGAAGACAGGTTTCTCCGTTATAATACGTAGATCGCTCACTCCCGTTTTTATGAAGCATTCCATTGTCAAGAAACCACGCTCAGATGATAAAGCACACACGCCCACGACAGTGCCTGCGAAGATACAACCACAGTCTTCAGATGATTTGCAACATCAAAGATACAACTGGAAAATACCTGTCCCGTCAACTGCTTTCAGTTTCACCACATCGCTTGAATTCTGGAAAATATCGTCATAACGCTTATTTTAGTTCTACGAACCACACTAAAACTAACCTGTCTACAAAAACCTTGTACTTCGAATCCTACTTCTACTTCCTGTATGTTTACTTCGGGCACATTAAGCATCTACAATAGTGGAGAATACTTGGAACATTCGGACTGAAAGAATGGAATACACATTTTAGTAAGCGGCGCTCTAATCGCCATCAGTGAACCACATAAGAGACTTGTAGCTAAACAGAAACAGATGAAAATACGATAGGGAAAACTTGGGAAAATTGCATTCTAGATGGACTTTTGCAAATATATCAAATATAAAGCTATTTATTAACTTCAGTACTAACGAATATGTAACAACAAATACCCTCGGTAGTCAGTTTGCTAAATCAACACGAGAATACGCACCAGAAGGAAAATACAGAGCTCTTAACTCGAACAGCGGACAACAAAGTGAAAGGGTGTAATTTAAAAACGCAACCGTGTAGGTATCCCCAAATACCAAAGAAGAATAACTAGGAATATTGTTAGAGTTATCCACACAAACGATCATGCCACCTCCTGCATCCACCTCTCAAAAATGCTCTGGAGCGCGAAAACTGCATCGTTGTCGAGCCGTCACTTAAGAAGCCCTTAAAACAGAATTTTGAAGAGGACATTCATACCTTTCATTAAACGATAAAGGATAAACCTGTGAGTGCTGAGGGATGCGAATGTATCGAGCCAGTGCTGCTATCCTGCCAAAGAAGTCTGGCACCAATTTGCCGACTACAGATGGATGGAAGGCTTGGTGAGCCACGGACACAGGGATCGATCCCATGTGCATTGTACGGCGTCTCCGACCACTGCACTACACGCGCTCCTGTCTTTGATTTGTAGACAAAAGCTATTCAGTAAAATCGGATTTGTTCGTTACAGTAAGTTTCTCCTCGTGACGAAGCACATTCTCGGTTGCCTTAAGCCTTTCTCAAATTCCCGATGCATTGCGATGTGCTCTGCTCAACTATAAAGAAGTGTCGCGCTCGACCAGCTTTTTTTAAAAACCATTTGTCAGAGGAGATCTTTGTAGTACTAGAGGAGCACTCCCAGTGCTGATAAATCTTTGATCTTTCAGAGCAGGTGACCCGACTTTGCTGTAGAAGTATGGAAACGTCCTAGTACGGCCCATGACTCTTGGGAATGCTACGCTCGACCATTCTGCACCATTTCGATACAGAGAGAAGACAGCAGATCTTTCATTCGTATACGAAACCATCGGCGAACCTGGCCTTCTTCATAGAGGATGGTTCCAAGATAGCGAAACGAATAAAGGAGCTGCTAGAGCACGATGAGCTATCTGAATATCTAAACAAAATGGCTTAGGCTTAGGCTTAGCTTTAGGCTTAGGCTCAGGCTTAGGCTTAGGCTGAGCTTCGACGATCCGGCGACTTTTCGAGATTTCGGCGTTTTCCGGGTTTCCACGCTTATCCGATTTTCCATGTTTTTTTTTTTCGCGTTTCTTGCGTATTTGGAGCTCTCGGCGACTTTAGGGTGTTTTCGGCGAGTAGATCAAATTGCGCAACTTTGTCGCCACGTGCAACTTCCCCTCGTTCCTAAGGCTCAGGGCAATGCTCCAGGCAACGTTTTGCCACGTTTACCCACTGTTTCGGCAATTTTCCGACTCATGCCCAGAAAACTCGTCCGCGCTATGGTAATCCGTCCGTTAGTGCCGCCTCGCGCTAAAAATGACGTGCACGTCGAAAATCGCGCTTGCCGCGGACAGCTCGTCCGTGTCTGGAAATCTCGTCCGCTAGTACTAAGCCGACTGAAAATAGCGTCGGCGTGTTGAAAATCACCTTTTCCAGGTTTGCGCCAGAAAACGCCCGCGGCTACAGTAACTCGTCCGCTACCGTAACTGGTCCACTACAGTAACTCGTCCGCGTAGTATTCAAATATTTAGGATTGCGTTTGCGCGACGAAATTCGGATTCTGCGAAGAGTTACGGCGTGGAATGCTTTTAATGTGCAGCTGGTTTTCATATGAAATACAATGGCTGGCATATATTTACTAGCGAAGAAGCTTCGTCGTGTAGAACTCTAAGGCAGCTGGGCTAGAAGTGTCCAGCTGCCTTAGAGTTCTACACGACGAAGAGTTTTAGAATATAAGCCTGAAAACATAGGATTTGTCCTTAACATCGCTGATGGTGTCGAATGGTAAGTCGCTGTGATGCAAAGCGGCTCAAAGCCACACGTAAAGTTGGAACATCTTCGTGGACAAAGTATGCGAGGAAACGAACTGAATGTGAGAAGTTTTGGGATCCGCATAGTATAGAGAATTCCTCTATCGGATAGAGAGTTCTCTATCTACTTAACAAACACATTCTATAAGTCGATAGAGACTGCACTTACCACAACGCCTGCGTGCGTGCCCTACACCCACATCCTATCTTAACCATTAGACACGTCACTAGACGCAGCATCTCGTAGCCATCAGGTACACCACCGGGCATGCTATTGGGCACGCCTCACTGCTTAGGGACTAGATTCAGCGACCCGACCCCTGACCCTGTGACCAACGCTATTCACTTGGACGTAGCCACGCCCACTAGCACCATCACTTGGCTTCTGATCACGCTTTGGAGATCGCCGCTGCTCTTCCGTTATCATTATTTGCTCTCCCACATAATCCTTCCACTCACAACTCCTTCGATCCGTCGAGGCACAAATGATGTTAACTAAAAGCTGTAGCTCTTGCATTTCCAATGCACTAGTGTTGTCCTTGATTCTCTTGTAATTACTGGGTGTTGTTAACATAACAGTTTTGGTAAATATTTTCATTCCTCACAGGTGCTCTACTCAACAATTCATCTTGCTGCCAAAGTCGCGATCGTCTCATTGCGTTGTTGTGTAAATAATATGTATCTGCGGCACATGCGACTACACGAACAAAAAGTCCCACGTGGCAAACCTGAGAAAGTCGAGCATTCCATCAACAGTTGGCGGACAGAAGAGAAAGTCGACCAACTACTACTCCATACTATATATTCCATTGGGCCAACCGGTACACACAGTAAATGTGAAAACAGATCAAATGAAAAAAGAATAAAAAAAATATATATGCAGGAAAACTACACTGAAGTCATTCATCCCATCAAGTTCAACAAATTGATCCAGATTTCCCTGTAGCCGTCAAAAATCATGAAGACGTACAACATTGATTTAATGTGCTTAAATGTGTGATCGGACGCAAAGGTAAAAGTTAATCCGAAACGGCAATGGAGGGGACTGTACTAGTTAAAGAATGATGCATGTAGTGCGCTGGTTTGATCCCGAGCCCCAGATTCACCAAGCCTAGCATCCTGCGGTCGGCAAATAGTTACAAG